TTTAACAAAAAATTAATCGAATTTTTATTTTTGTCGAGATGGCTTCTAGAAATGTCAAGGAGGTACTTAATAATTGCACGTGAATGACTAAAGTTCTACAATTTCTGTTTTTCACTACATTTTAATAAAGTTTCTTTATTAAATTTAATTTTAAAAATATTTTGAAGATATATTTTAAAATATATCTTAAATATAAGAATTACCCGTAAAAACATATATTTATTTTGATTTGAAGTTCTTCATCACAAGCATTTTCTTTAAAAATTTTTATTTTCTAAATTTTATTGATTTTTATAAAGGCTAAATTTTTTGTAGATTAGAACTTTCAAAAAACTCTTGTATATTCTAAAAAATTGGAAAAATATGTAAAAAATCGTTCATTTAAAAAACATTACGAGTTTTTTTTACCATTTATTAAGATAAATGAGAATATTTTTTAATAAAAATGTCAATTTTATGTTTTTAGTTAGCAAGAATTTTGTTTTCTCTGTTTTCAAATGTTTGAATGAAATCTCTTTGTAACTTTTAATAATCTGCATGTTCGATTATTCATTCATTCATATGGAGTCCTCTTTACAGAGGATTGCAGTTGAAGGACATTTCGACTCTTCACGATTGTAGGCTTTTTTCAAGCTTGAGCCAGTTCATTTTTGATGTTGTCCTGCCACGTTAGCCTAGGTATTTCCTTTCTCTGTTTGTTCTTCACCACTCTTTGAACTGAAATTTTCATTTGTTTCTCTAAGGATCCTCTTATTATATGCCCAGCATATACTATTTTTCTTCTCTGGATGCTGACCATCAGGTTACTTTCCATTTCAAATCTACTCATAACATCCTCATTGGTTATTCTTTCTATCCAGCTAATCTTTTTCATTCTTCTAATATACCACATCTCAAAGGAATTTTATCCTATTAAACTGCCTCTTGGTTTATTGTCCATGACTCGCATCCGTATGTAGCCATACTCCAAATAATTAAGTATTTTTAGTTTCAACTTTTTGCATACATTTCTTAATACTGAGGATATTTGTGCGAAAGCAGCTTTAGCCTTTTTTATTCTATTTTTCATTTCGTAATTACATCTGTTGTTCTCAGTTATCGAACTTCCTAAATACTCATTTTTACCTTTTCTATTTTCCTTCCATTCAACATAATCTTTAGATATTTGTTTTCTTCTCTTGAGATTATCATAACTTTCGTTTTGTTCACGTTTATTTTCATTTGGTATCTTGCTTTTCCCACTTTTTTCAATCTATTTAGAATTTTCTCTAACCCTTCTTCGGTATTACGTAGCAGAGCGATGTCGTCAGCATACCTAATATTATTGATAAGATGTCCATTAATTTTTACACCTTCGTCTAGATTTTCGAACGCCTCTAGGGAATGTTGGCAACAAACCACATTCCTGTCTTACTCCTTTTTTGATCTGAATCCATTTGGTATCATCTCCCTGAAATCTGATCATTGCTTTTTGACTTTTATACATGTAGATTATTCTCAGTAATTTTTTTTATCAATACCGATTATTTGTAGAATCCCAAACAACAGCGTTTGATTAACACTGTCAAAGGCTTTCTCGAAGTGGAAAAAACATACAAATAACTCTCTATTACGATCCATCATTTCTATAAGTCCTTTCTCCTATAAGTCGTATCATTGTAATGACCTCCCTTGTCCTTCTGCCTCTTTGGAATCCAAATTGCGACTCATCTAGTTCCCGATTTATGTAGTTTTCTATTCGCTGTATGATGTTAACTAAAACCTTCGAGGCATGGCTTTTCAAGCTAATAGTTCTGTGTTTATCACAGTCTAAGGTACCCGCAATTTTAGAAACAGGGATGAAGATAGATTTTGTGAAATCATCCGGAATATCTGCCTCTAAAGTTTGTTTAAAAAATTAGTTAGTATTCTTGTTCCACCTTCCCCCGTAGCCTTAAGGAGTACTTATATTTAATGTATTCCTGATGCCTTTTCGTCTCAACTTTTTCAGTGCAGCATCAATCTCTTCCTTGAGAAAAGTTGCACTTTCTTCTTTCTCCTCCATTCCTTAGATTATTAAATATTATAAAATAAATAATGAGAGCTAAAGAGGATCTAATTTTTGTGAATATAGTTGGACAATGGATTCATTAAATCATAGAAACAAGAGATAGATCCTTTTGTTTCCGTGATCGCATAAATTCACTTGTCCATGTTTCTATCTATTAAATTTTTATATTAAACCATATTAACTTTATATATGTATTAAACCTTATGCCAAATCATTGGTAGATCATGAAAATAACAATATTTTCCTCTTGTTTCCATGGTTATTCAATATTATTAGCATTAGTAAGATCATGATCTTACTAATGCTAATACTATTGAAAAATTCTACTAACATCATCAGAATGAGTGGTCTCATATCAATGGGAACAGAACCCTCTAGTTATTTAATATTTATAATTTTTAAATTCATTATTACATTTTTAACATTTTTTTTATTCTTTTTATGCTGTTTTAAGTTAAAACATAAATTCAAAACATCGTTATGAAGATGTTACAGTTAAACACACCTTTGAATCTAGATAGAATAGAACTCCTTTTATTAACAAGTACAAATTTGCAGTTGAAAGAGAGCTATTCATGCTAAATTAACACAGAACACATAGCCTGTTAGTAATATGCTATTGATATATTCAAGCAATCCTTCCTCTTTCAATTTTAAATCTTCCTTCCTCCAACTTTAGATCTTTCCTCTCGCAAAATTTATATTCTCCTCTGGCCAATTTTTCAATTCTCCCTTTTCCAACTTTAGAGCCTTTTTCCAGTTATACAATTACAACTATAGAGTTGACTTAGGTTTAAACTTCATTCTCTATTTCTTAATAATATGGTATCAATACAAATAATCTCGAATTATATGCTATATTAAAGCAAGTGAATAAGAATCTATATGCTCGTCTCTTCATTTATAGAAAATGAAGTATAAATGCATCTTTAAAATTGTTTCACAAAATATTTAAGTTGTTACTTGTACTAAATTTAAATGTATGTATGATATACATATGTTAGAGATGTTTACTGTAAATGCATTCATTTATCAACATTATATATAATTAAGCAGCTGAAAATACAAACTAGTATTTTATGCGGCTAGTTACTTGTAGTTAATGATTAGCAATGAGATATTAGTTAATTATTTTAATATTTTGGTATTGTTAATTTGAATTTCCAACTTTAATTTTTTTCTTTTTAATTTAAATCTTCTCTCTTCCAATTTTTGTTTCATCTTACATTCGTGTATAATCTCAACTTTAAATTCAATTTTAAATGAATATAAAAGATTTATTCTTACTAATTATGGAAAAATATATATACTATAATCTCACAGAATGATTTAAATGCAATTTATACGTTATTTAATTTTATATTTGCTGAAAATTATCCTTTATTGTCGAAATTATAAATTGTTCCATTATCAAACTTTTATGAAAATTCAATTTTCTATTCATGTGAGAATAATAATATGATCAAAATATTATATAATATTACGAGATAATGAGAATAATGCGATAGTTTCATTCTCATGGATAATTCATTTTGTATCCATTTCAGTTATTAATGTTAAGAGATATACATCATTGAATACGAGTATTTCCTAAAGGGTTTAAATGACATATTTTCTCGTGTTAATTGTTACAAATGCTCTTGCAATATTTCTTGTAACCTTGAACAGTTACTTTACATAAATATAATTTTTTTTTTAATTACAAATGCTTTATTGTAATAAGAAAGATCTTTACATAAATATAATCACATAACGCAACTTTTTACATCACTAATTAATTTTTTTTTAATTATAAAGCATATTTTTATATAAAAATATTGCAACATATTTTATCATGATTTTTTTTCTTTTCCTGCATTATTTTTAGAAAATTTTAATATATATCGAATTTTGAAGTATTTAGATACTGCTATACATAAAAATATTTTTTAGAAAATACATATAATCTGTGTTTTTTGTAAATAAAACTGCAAATTTATTATTCCCCAACTGGTAGTTCACGGATTTTTCGAAATGATGAATTGTATTGTAGTTCTACGGAAGTTGAGAGGTTAAATGTAATAAAAATGATAAAAAGCGAGAATCTTTTATAAATTTATTTTTCATCTTTTATAAAATAAATAAATAAATAGATAAAATAAAATAGATATTGTGATTTTATAGAAAGAAAATAAATTTATAATTTAATCATTATGTTATAAAATTCAATATAAATCTGATTTTCTTGGAGTATATAAAATTATATAATGGTAAATTTGATTCTTTTCTTTCTTAATGTTTTATTAAAATATAAATATTGAAAATTTTTCAGAGAATTTTTTAGAAAATAAAATGCCTCAATTTACTCGAAAAATTTTTGATTTAAGACCCATAAATCTAATAATTTTTTTTTATTTGCATCAAAGGATTTTGATCATATAATGATGAAATCTTAGAATATTTTCTAAATTCTTATAGAAATGTAATCAAAGAGTTGCATCGATATCCATTTATCATCATTATAAATGGATTAATTAATTAATATATGCAAATGATTCTAAGAGGTAATCATTATCATGGTCTCTTAGAAACTTTTGCCAAAATAAATTGTTCCATTTATTATTATTATTATTATTGATGTCGAATCAACTCTGATTTCATTTCTAAGAGGATTTTGAGCTGCATCAAAATCCATTTATCATCACCATCATTCTCATGATAGATTAATTGATTCATGACAAAAGATTCTAAGAAGCCGTGATAACGATCATTATTGTGATTTGTTAGAATACTTTTTCAGATGATTTCTAAGAGATGATTAACACCCTCATCGTCGTCACTTAGATTTTGTAAATCTTTTTGGAATATGTAATTAGAGTCACATTTACATCCAGTTATCTTCATGATACCATTGTAAAATCTTTTAAAAATGAGATAAATTCAAAGAAATTTCACTTTATAATTTTTTTAGATTTCACCAAAAAATAGAATCGGAAGGACCACAAAAGTGGAAATGTGGACCTTACGGGCAAATTCGTTCTTTAACATCAGGAAGCACACAAGATGGAGAGATCGAACCAGGAAGGAAAACAATCAGAGCTACCGACGAAAGTAAGTTTTCTATTGTTTAATTCATAAAAGTCACCATGCGGGATGTATTTTTTTGATAATATTTTGTTTTTTAAAGTTATATTTAGAGTTTATTGCGCTGATCACACGTATACAACATTGAAGACAGTGGTGGGTGCCACAGCCGAGATTATCAAGAGAAGCGCTGCTGAAAAACTTGGATTAAAGGACGATCTGGTTTTAGTTGAAGTGAAATCAACCGGTGGTTCGTTGATTCATTTTATCACGAATTTTTTTTAGATGATATACAGTTTTATATATAGAAGTTCTGCTTTAGAAGCATGTTAGAAGCTTGCATTGTAGAAAAATTTTAATTTACAATAAAAGGCATACTTTTCGAAATTTTCTTATTCTTAAGAGGAAATATAGAATAATATTTAGTATTTATAATGGGTTTTATGGTTTGATTTTCAGAGAGAGTGGTTTTTAAAGATGCAGAAGTAAGTGTATCAACAGGTTTATCCATCAATGGACGAATTTTCTTATCTCCGTCCGACCACCAGGACGCCTTAGTAAATTAATTGTTTAATTATTTTAATATCGATGTGTTAATATATAATTATTTATTTAAAAAAAATGTATTTTTAGACTCCATTACAAGAACAAGACGGACCATTGGAAGGCACGGGGGCTATCTTAGAGACTTTGAGTTCATACGATATTGCATATAACATGACTATATATGACTGGGATCTATTTTGTTGCGTTCATGAGGTAATTTTTTGGATGTTGCTTCATTATTCACTTGGTTTATTTATTTATTTTTTTATTCTCTTCCGTTCACAAGAAATTTTTTGTTTGGATTTTGTTGCGCTAAAACAGTTACTTTTGAATTTTGTCATGTACAATATATGAGGTTGATTTTGGATTTTGTTTCCTTCTTGGAATAATTTTTTGAATTTTTGTGTTCACAAATCAATTTTTGGATTTCTCCATAAGGTAATTTTTAAAATTTGATTTTGTCCAAGGGATTTTTTTTTGGATTTGACTCATTCGTGAAACATTTTTTCTGGTTTTTTTCCATATTTTACTAATTCTGAATGAATACCTGTAAGTGAAACTTTAAGAAAATAATATATGTGAATTTATTCACAATTTAAATTTAAAACCAAAATATATTAAGAAATATTGCAAAATTAATTTTTAAAAAAGATAAATATGCATAAATTATAATGAATATTTAAAAATTTTTCTTAAGCGATAAAAACAAACGATACAAATTCTTGACCTGTTGACAATTGAGTCTGATGAATACCATTTAATATGTAAATGAACATAATACTAGTTGTACATAATATTAAATCTAATATTCTGAGTTGAATATAAATCCATGATTCACTTTAAATTAAATTTATGTACAAAAAATGTAGAGGAGAGAATTGCAGGAACAGCATCCCATCTAATGAGTTTTCAATAAGTGCTGAATCAATATTAATTTACATACTCCATAAGAAAATTTTTTAGAAGTAAAGATTTTAGATAAATTTCACACGTTATTTTGATCTGTTTTTTGTAAAAATTGAATGATTGGCCCTTTCAAAAAGCGAGAAATCGAATTTAACCCGCCCATTTTCTAATTATCTTCACATTTCTCACAAATATCGTCAACAAAATATAAAAATTCGTAAATTAGTAATGGAAGTTTTGAATATTTTTATTTGGATTTTAAGACAACGATTCTTTATGTTGAAAGGAATCTAGTTATACACAAAATATATAATTAGAAAATTATTAAAAATGCTTTCTTACTGTAATTGTATTTAACATTTTAATGCATTTTATGATTATATTATTTAGATTTATTATCACTCACTACATTGAAAGAAATTATCATTATTTATAAATAAGAACTTTTAGACTTATTCCTGCATAATTTTTTAAAATTAAACTTGAAAATAATATGTTAAAATCGTTAAAATCATAAAATTTTTCTTACAGTACGAGTTAATATATCAAGTATTTGGAAGACATCAGTTTAGAAAGATTATGTCAAATTTGGATGTTTTTCTTAGAAGATTTAACGAAGTGCAGTACTGGGTCGTGACAGAAATGTGCTTAGCAACATCCCTTGGAAGAAGAGTACAGTTGTTAAGGAAATTTATAAAAATTGCTGCTCAGTATGTATTATATTCTACTATTTTTTGAAGTTTTTCTTATACCAAGACCTTGTTACTGTTTGTAAATCCATCAAGAGAATGACCCGAAACTAGTAATTAAAGTAAGAATTAAGGCTAAATGAAGTATAATCTGATAAATGAGGATATTTTGGACCTATTCTTGCAAAAAATATCATATTTTTTAACCTCTGGTAGCCTTCAGTTTGATCAATTTCGCGGCTTGTAATACTAACTTAAATCTCTGTCATCCGAAATGATAAATGAAGACAGAAGACTCGATCTTTGACAGATGATAAAACTTTTGGGGATTTTCTTCTTGTTACTCTTCTTTTGTTTTCCCCATCCGAAGTTTAAACATCTTATCACAATCCCCCTCTTAAATTTTTCGCTATAGTTGCGCTTTTGTTGGATTTAACCGAACTTTCAAACTACATTTCACGATTCTGAAATAATCTATCAAATGTAATAAAGTAAAACCGACATTTTTTGCTTTTATGGATCCATTAGAAAATAACGTAATTCATTTTTTCCCCTATTTTAGTTGCAGAGAAAATCAGAATTTGAACACGTTCTTTGCTGTAGTAATGGGATTAAGTAATGTTGCAGTCAGTCGACTCTCACAAACATGGGAGAGGCTTCCTAATAAATTTAAACGTACTTTTGCGGAATTTGAAACTTTAATTGATCCTTCGAGGAATCATCGAAGGTATAGGTTATCTGTAAATAAAATGGATCCCCCCATAATTCCGTTTATGCCCTTGCTCCTGAAGGACATGACCTTCTCGCACGAGGGCAATAAGACGTATCTGGAGGGATTAGTCAATTTTGAGAAAATGGTAATTCTTTTTGTAATATTTTAACGTACTTCTACCACTTTACTTAATTAAATATTGATTTTTTTTGCTTTTGAAGCATATGATTGCCCAAACTCTTCGTTCATTACGCCAATGTAGAAGTCAGCCCATGGGTGAGTTAACATGTTTATAGGTCTTATTACTCCTCTTTTAAATGGATTTTTCTAAAATATTTTAATGCCGAAGTCTTCTTTATTAATGTAATAACATATTAGAGCGCTTTTTTAAATAAAAAAGTGCATTTTTTTTACGTAAAAGCTTTTCAAAGAACAGCTGTTACGCTATAACGAAACTAGGATTTTTGTTAAACATGCCGCATAGAAATTTTTTAATTTATTACATTTACTATAACTTTCTGCATATAATAAATTAAATACAATTCATTAAATTTTAATTAAAATAATAAATAACAGAATTATAATGAACTTGCTGTTGATTTTTTTAAAGAAAAATCAGGATTAATTTTTAAGTAATAATTTAAGCTGTTTTTTATGTTATTTATTTGTGATTTTTGCTCTAAATTACTTTTTTTAATATAATAAATTATATTTTTAATAAATAGATCTTTCTCTTTACAGTGCTAGAACCATCTCAATCAAGTAAAGCCCAAGTAGAAGTCAGCAATTACATAAGGTATGCTTTAAAACAGCAGTAATAATTTTTAAAGCTGTCTAAACAAGTGATTTACAGAAAAAAATCGCATTTTAATTAATAAAATTAATAACAAATATGCTAATATCATGATCCCGTTTTCTGTATTTGACGTTTCAATTATACTAAGAATTTTCTATTAGTCTTTTGAAAAGGGGGAGAGAGATGCAAATTAGATAATGTAAGCTGTAAAATTGAAATTTTTGAATAGATTTTTTAAGAAAAAATGTTATTAAATTTAATTGCGAATTAAGTTTTATAATTCTTTTTTCTGATTAAAGACTTTACTTTAGCTTTACATGCCTTTTGTAGGGTATAAGTTTGATTATAAGCTTATAAAACCTAATAAAAATTTATTTATATTTATATTGTAGTTAATTAAATTTATATTTTATTTATTTACAAAACATTCAGTAAATTTGTAGACTTATTTAATGGTTATGAAGAATTTATTTGTACTTAGGTTCAGTTCTATACTAGAAATACAAATCATGTTTCCACCAAAATTCATAAACAAATATGCATTCTAGTCTCAGATGACATTCGAACCCACGTCCTGAAGTATTGATATATACATACATACAGTAATTCCTCGTAATGCGAGTTGGATGGACCTCATTCAAGATTAGAATGCATTTTTCTTTATGGTTTGTAATTTATATTATTCGGATATCTAAGGAATTGTGAGGTCCGAACCTATATTCTTAGGAATATACCATATATAATATCTCAGGATGGTGTTTCAAACCTGAACTGAGATTAACATGCATTTTTAAATGATTCTTAGTAGAAACATGGATAAGGTTTACTTTAATCAGTATAGGTTCATATGGTTATCCTTTCTCCTAATGGGATTCTTCATTAGCCTAAGAGTATAATTGATTCATTTATCCATTAAAACTAACGATAAAACGGATTTAAACTATTCTAATTAATTATTTTTATTCAATCTTTAATTATTTTCAGGAACTTTAGAGTGATTGACAATCAGCGAAGATTGACACAACTATCGCACAACCTTGAACCAAGACGTTCTTAGGGGATTTGCATTCAACAATTTTTATCGACATATCATGAACTATCTGATGTCAGGGAACAATGAAACAAAAAATAAAGATAAAGAAAGTAAGATGATGGAGATCTTCAAAGTCATTAAAAAAGTTAACTCTTCGGTACCAAATTCTTGTTAGAAGTACGGGGAAAGGCGACATTTTGTATGTGTCCCAAGTATTGTTAATGGCAAATTATAATAAAATCTGAACCATTTAAGATAGTTGAAAGTATTGTCTAGTGTTTAAAACATCATGGAATGATAGTTTGGATAATCTTTAGCATAAAGTAAAGCATAAGATACTCAATTTTTAATGCTTTCTATATATATGCACATTAATATTATATAGGGTGTTAATAACGATGCTAATTCAAAGTTATAAACAGTAAATAAATAATAAAATAATTAAACAATACAATAAAAATTTAATTTAAATATTTATATAATTTATTTATGATTTGTTAAACAGCTTATTAAACTGAATCACAGATACCTATGCAAACCAAACATTACATATCAATAAAAGCATAAAAATATATGCTAAAGCTTAATAAAAACTATGCAAGGATCAAAAAAAGTTGTTAGAAAGGATATATATATATATATTAATTTTTTATTGTGTAGATATTAAACGATGAAAAAATGAAAAAAACAGATTATAAATTATGCAAAGTTATACAAAAATTGAGTATATGGGACGTGAAAGTCGCCTTTTCCCCTCAGAAAAAACACAAATTAAGGACTATGAAGTCTCAGTATAGTCCTTGCTAGTCTTCCATTTTTATTGCTACGCAGCCGGGTGCAATATAAATAAATAAATAAATAAAAAGTAAATAAATAAATAAAATATATATATATATATATAAGCGCGCAGTTGGCATCCCAACTGAATTCTGCACCATTCTCCATAACGTGCTCGGGTTCGAAACTCACCTAACGGAGGCGAATAGACGGCCGACGATTGGACTTGTGACGTCATAGATGTCATGGTGGCCTCATAAGGTGTGATCTCTTGTTTAACATGCTCGTTGGATGCTGTGGCCGTAGTCACCACCGGTGTGAATGCCTGTTCGGGAAACTGTTGGAGGCTGTAGGGTGTACCCGCTGATACAGCAGCTGTAGCAGTACCCAAATCTGGAACCATTGCTGTGGTTTTAAGTTCCTCCTGTTTCGGCCATTTAGGCCACATTTGCTACAAAATAAAAGGATTTAACAACGTCAGAACGTAACAGAAATAGAGGAGAGTTTTTTTTTGTAATTTTATTAAGTGTCGTGACAGGAGGGTTTTCTTTAATTCTATTAATTACACCACCTTTTATTAAGTATCTCGACACTCTGGAGTCGTATTGTGACCGTTTTTTTTAAAGTTTTACACCCGTTCTAGCGTCAATTGCCCGTGTTTTCTTTCACGAGGAGGTGGTAAAGTTATGAGATTTACTTAGACAAAATGTGCAACTCACATTTGTATAGAGCTGGTCTCCATTGTACTGCGTCCTCTGTCGTTTGTTATCGTCGTCGTGAATAGAATGGTCACCATTCAAATCTCGACCGTCATTGGCTGAAAGAAGACAGACGGGAGGAGTTACATTCCTCTGATTGACAGATCGAAGAGGCGAAGTCGTTCTATTGCTACACTTCTTTTATTTATTTATTTATTTAAACCGACAGTCAATGATTAAATTATGATTAAAATAGCATAATTTTATATCGTTAAAATATACAAAAAAAAGAAAAGGTGATTTAATATTTTAAAATTTAACAAAATGGGGTTAAATTAGGATAAAGAGCAAGGCATTTCTAGTGTTTTGAAATGAGAAAAGCACGGTTTAAAATTATTAAAAACACTTCCTGACCTGTTTAAGTTTTAGTGTAAGCTTGTATTCGTTTAGTTTAATGATGTTTATCTATGAAAATTCGCTGACCAGAAGTGTATACCCCATCAAAGCATACAACGTTGTAGAGATTAGAAGGAGAGTGGGGTTGTCGGAGCTGTTTAAACCACAATGAGTGTAATGGGTAACAAGGCAGACCCAATCCCAAGCGATTATATCTACCAGTAGGAACACATTCAATCTGTTGTTGAATAATTGGAAAGATTAGCTTACGTATGAGAAACAGATGGGGACAAAGAGGGGGGATCTTCCCTTCTATGTTATCTCGGCACCAAGTGCATCAACCCTCAACAACTCCAATTAAGTTCCAACCGATCAATAAGCGAACTTTAACGATTATTAATTTAATTATCCGATCTAGTTTAGTAAAAATTTCCATTAGTGATAAGAGAATTGAGCAATTGCTTATAGGAGGCCTTCAATTATAGAGGCCTTTATAAGTAAATTATTTTTACAGAAAGGTCTCCGAAATTTATTAGCATCTTTCTTAAAGGGTTTCTACACAAAGATAAGACGATTGTTTAGCTATTTTTAAGGGTTTATCTTAGTTATCCGAAGGCTCTCGGGTTTCTTCCAGCAAAGGTTTCTATATATGTAACTTTAAAAAGAAAAAAAAAAGTAAAATTTACTAAAGTTTTTATCTTAAAATCGCTTGTAGATATAGCAGCTATATTTAAGGGTACAGAGGGTCTAGAAATTTGCCCATGGAAGCTTTTATTGTAAAGATCTAAGCTATTTAACATGAAAAATACAGGGGTTAGATTTGATCTCGTTATTATAAAGAGGTTTATTATAAGATAGGCGAAATCTCTGGACTAAACATCCCCCCTTCCGAGGTAGAAAGTGCTGTTTAATCAGAAAGTTTAGCGAAACGAAAGAGATGCTTAATAACTGCATCTATTTTTACGAAGTAAAAAAGGGGTCTATATTTGTTTACGATGACGTTTTATGAGAAGAGTTCCTTTAATGACATGCATTATCACTCCGTTCCATGCGACAGAACCCCAGCTATGAGATGGCAGACATCCTCCTGGCAAGGAGCCTGATACCACCGTAAATAAAAACCATTCTGTTTAAGTTCATCGCTAATTGACGACATGCTAAGTCCGACATGACATCAACTACCGATTTAGTTCTTAGCAAGTCGCTGACATTGGTATTGCAAGCACGAAGGCTCAGGTATGCCTGGCAGCCGTCTTTGCATTACCAACAATCAATATGGATGAACAAGCTCGCCCGATAGAATGTCATTTTGTGATGTCATTAACGTCACTAGATCTATCTATCCCTGCTGTACTTCTTTTTCCACACGTATTGCATTACCCAGCAGGAATGGTTAAACATCTGCACGAAAATTGCTCTCCTTAACATTACAAAATATCACCTTCTCTAAGAGGAACTTCGGGGGTTATTAATTAATATTTTTGTAAATTTTCTAGTGTTTAATGTGTAGTAAATGCTCTCCCATCGCGTGGTTTCCGATAGGGAAAGTGTGTAGTTGAGTGGTGCTGAAATTCGCTCTACCTCATCTTTTTTTTTGGATTTTTACGAAGGAGGAGAGCGCATTTGGGGATGGAGCTCGTTAAAATGCGGTTATGGATAAGTTAAAGAGGAGAAATTACAGAAAACAAGTGATGGCTGCGATGTGTGCTGGAGTGGAACGATCACAATGCAGCAGCTGTCTATTGACTCGTCCCAAGAGATGCCAATGGTTCTTATCGAAGCGACCCACTGGCCTTGTAATTACAACACTTTCCTATCGGCCAACGAAAGGTTATCGAGAGCGGGGAAACACCAATCATCGTCACACAATTGATGAAAGCCTTACCCTCTTATATAATACAGATAGAGCCTTTCCAAGTGCGGATAGTAAAGTGCAACAAAAATATAAAAAAAATACAGGCTTTCTATTGAAAATCCGTACGTACAGCTTCTGTTATCTTCATCTAAATCTGTTTTTCTTTTTATTTTTTCGTAATTAAAAGGCTCTGCATGTGTTTAATTAACGCTCTCACTTTGTATAAATTCAAAGCCTTAATTAGTATCTTCGTTTAAATTAAACATTTAACCTGAATTAACCGGTTGTAATCCTGTAATTTTGGCTACGAAATCTTTAATGTGGCTATTTCCCTTCAGGCTTTGATGAGCCTGAAGGCGTACGGACGTAAGAATTTTATCGTTGGAAAAGACTTTTATAATTCTATTAAATTAAGGAAATTTACGAGAGTAAATATTATAGAATCTGATTTTTTTAAAGTATGGAAGGCCTAAAAAGGCTTATTAAATGGGAATAAACACATTAAAAGCTGTATAAGTTGGGGTTAGATGAGGCATTGTATTACGAATAGAGCAATAGTTTTAGCTCTACACAACGGATAGAAGTTAGTGTTATTAAGGCTTAAGAAGGCTTTAAATTAGCAATAAGATATATAAAAATGAAATTAGATCTTCCGTTTCCCGTTTCAGAAGCCTCCCGATGAATAATTTGATATAAAATTAAGGCTACAATAAATAATATAACAGTCATTCTAACTTAAAATCTAGATAAAACCCTGTTACGAAGCATATAAATAACATTACCTCAATATAGCGTTGGTGAAAGAGGAGGAAAAGCAATGTAAAACCCTCGAAATAATGTTGTAATCATAAACAATTATCTAGCAACATTTAAAAAATAAAAATGGAGTCAGAAAGGAAGAAGTTTAACATCCGAATACGTCACGTGCATCCGTTGTCACATCAACACATGTTATTCTCCATGTTGTCTTAAGGAATGTGACAGTTAAACGGCATCCCCTCTTCATTCGTAGAAAGGGAACCGCCAGATACAAACAACAACCTCCTTTGTGAGGCCAATTTTAAAAAATATTACACATTTTTTAGGGACTAACATGTTGTACTAATTTATACACCATGTTTTTTTTTTAGGTATGTTTACAAAGGAGAGAAGACGACGTATCTTTAGTTGAGAGGCGCATTAATGAGTTTCTATGGATCGATTTGGCTCAATCACGATTCTAATCTTTGTGGTTCCACTTAAATCAGGCATCAACCAAGCCAAAAATTAGCTGAAGAATAAAAGGTATGCTGATAGAACCACTAGACAGCCAATTTCTCGGCTGGAAAGCTACGAGTCAATGGCTGCCTTCCTTCGTCATGGCCGGTCGATTTTTTGAATCCCTAGGATTAGGGGGGAAGTTTTTGTTGCACGAACATTCTCCCTAGACTTAGGGAAAATACCGTACTTTATTTCATCACTTTGTTGTGGCCAACCGAGGGATTTTTTCGTCTTTTGTCGTCCATACCATTCGATACGTCTTCCAGCCGTGAAATCAAAGATGGCGGCTCGATAATCTCCACGACTACCCCGTTTTGTTTCATAACGTAAAGAAGGACACACGAACTTTGATATTTGGCGATTCTAGAATGTGTTGCCTGTTAATTTATATTGGAAGTGGGAGCCAGAAACCAAACTTTGTCCTCTCCCAAAAGTTGCTATCCGCGGGGAGAGAAAGAGAGAGAGAGAGAGAGAGAGAGAGAGAGATGTATACTATTCATTGACTTCCTTCCAAACGGGTGATTGTGTGCGATCGCTCATCTGTATCGAGTCCTGACCGTGGGATCGTTCACCAACTGGGTCTTCAGTAGAAAGGACCTCAATGCTATAGCCTCAGTGGTCTACAGAGGGCCTGTCAACGACNCATAATTTTTTAGAAGTTCTTTTTTTTTATTTTTAGAAAATAAAAATTTGTTAAATCTCTTATTTAACAAAGAAAATACTCTCATCAAAGTTGGATAAAAGTAAAAGAAGTAATTAGCTTTGTCATAATAAATGAGTAGGAGGGGAGATCAGATCTCATTTTCAGATTAAAATCTAACCATTTTAAGAAATGAAAAATATTTATTTTAAAAAAAATTTAGAAAATAAATATAAATATATTATTCCTTACGCTCTAAAGTTAAATTT